AAAAATAATAAAAATTAAAAAGTTTATTTCATGTATATGAATACACATAAAATAAAAATAATAAATAAAATATTTAAAAAATATTTAAAGTTGATAATGAGCAAACAAGCAGAAGTCCTGCAAAGCAGTGAAATAAGAGAGGAAACAAGAAGTGATGAGCCAAGTTTCTCAATAAGCAGTTGCACAGACTTGCTAGCTGCTAACAAACACAGAGGTGTTCACACTCATTAGTAACCAGAGAGAAGCAAATTGAACAGAGCAAGGCAGCCCTTCAGCTTGATAAGAATGGCAAAAACTTCAGGCTATGGAGTTGGCTTAGTAAAGTGCTTGTCATCCAAGCATGAGGACCCGAGTTTGGATCCCCAGCGACCACCACCATGGTGGTGTACACCTGTAATCCTAGCATTGGGAAGACAAAGACAGGTGGATCCCTGGCCCTTGCTGGCCAGCCAGTCTAGCCAATTGGTGAGCTCCAGGTTTAGTGAGTGACTCTGCCTCAAAAATTAAGGTGGAGAAATAATTTAAGAAGTCACCCAACATCAACCTCTGCACCTATACATGTGTGTGGATACATGTGTGTATGTAACACATACATGAACACATTACACACATGGGAAAAGAGAACGGCAAATTATTAAATTGGATAATATCAGATTTTGGTAAGCATGTGAAAAGATTGGAACCATGGTTAGTTTCTTCTGGGAGTGTAGATGGCACTGCCATTATTGAAGGAAACAATCTCAAGGCACTGCCAATGATGTTATCTGTAATAATTTTCTATGAAGTTACTGCAGCATTGAATTAGTGGACACGAATCATTGTTCTAGGAGAAATGGAGGGTTAAATTCCTGCAAGTCTATTGTTAGCATTCTGCCAATCAAATAATAACCTTAACTTCATGTGTTTGTGTTTAAAGACACTGTATTTAATGTATATTGCCAGTTCATTGGATTTATTGCCAATAGCACTATGACTCGTGCCTGGGCACGATGTGCTAGACTTCAGAGGCATTTTAAGCTGAAAAAAAATCACACAAAAATAAGCACGGAAATGTGAAAAAATACAGTGCACACCACATTGTGCTTCTCTGTTCGCCTGTCAGTGGACAGTTAGGTACTTTCCACCTCCTGAGTGTTGTGAATAATGGTGCTGTGAACACAGATAAACAAATACCCCTGCAGAATCTTGCTTTCAGTTCTTTTGGATATATATAGCCAGAGGTAGCATTATGCTTAGTCTGTTTAATTTTTGAAGCACTGTCACAACATCCTCCATAATGGCTCTAATAAGATTCCCTACAACTGTGCCCAAGTGCCCATTTCTCCACATCCTGCCCAAACTTATTTTTAAACAAATTCTATCACATTTATTTACGTGTGTGTGTGTGTGTGTGTGTGTGTGTGTGTGTGACTTGTGCCACAGTGCACACGTGAAGGTCACAGGACAACTGTTGGGGTCAGTTCTCTTCTTCCAAAACATGCATTCTAGGGATCAAATTCAGGTCATTGAACTTTGTGGCACATTTACGATGGAGCCATCTCGTCAGCCTCCAAAACTTATTTTGTTTTTAAAGTAGTCATCCCGATGGATGTTCGGTGCTATGTCATTGTGGTTTTGCTTTGCATCTTCCCAATGCTGATTTTGTTTGTTTGTTTGTTTATTGCCCTTGGGTAGCAGGTATCAGGTCTATCACTGAGCTATGCCTCCTACTGTTTTAGTGACTTTTCAGTTGCTGAGATAAAACACCATGACCAAGACAATTTATTTAAGCTTATGGTTTCAGGGCTGAGGGTCCATAATGGCAGGGGAAGGCATGGTAGAAGGAGGTGGCCAGAGCAGAAAGCCGAGTGATCACATCTTCAAGCAGGCACAGGAAGTAGGGAGAGCCTGAATGGAAGTGGGCAAGCTATACGTTCTCAAAGCCCGTCCCCAGTGGCATGCTTTCTCCAGCATGGCCACACCTCCTAAAGGTTCCACGACCCTCCCCAAACAGCATCATGAATCGGGGACAAAATATCCAAATACTTGGAGCCCATGTGGGCCATTCTCTTTCAGACCACCACACTCTCCTCACTTTTAAATTAGGCTGATTGTATTTTTGTTGTTGATCAAGAAATATATATATTCTGGAACCCTTCTCATACAAACCTACAGCAATGGTGTCAGCATACAGAAGACCCATGCAAACTGGAGCAGACAAAAACCCAGCACAGAACTGTGGAAATGAACAGCAGGCCCCAATCTTAGTTGAAGAATTATTGGCAGCTGATGACTACTGGGTGAGGAAGAGCTGATCTTCTTAAAAGGAGGGACTCCAGATAGGCTGACTAGATCCCAGTGGGTGAACTTGTACTAAAAGACATCTGGGGACACTAACTTTACATGATAAGCCTTAACACAAATGGCAGAATGTATGAACTCCAGTGGGAGGACTATGGGAGGGTGCCAAAGGGGAAGGGGATATAAAGATGACTTGCTCTATGAAATACACAAAAATTCAATAAAAATTTTTTTTGGTCTTTTTGAAGCAGGGTCTCCCTGTAGCTCCAGCTGGCCTGGAACTCATTATATAGGCCAGGCTGGCCTTGAACTCATAGAGATCTGCCTGCCTCTGCCTCCCAAATGCTGGGACTACAGGTGTGCGCCACCACGCTCGACTAATAAAAAATTTTTTAAAAAGAAATATGTGTGTACAGTTACATACACATATGTATATATAAATATTCTTGATGTTAATTCTTATCAGATATATGACTGTCAAACATTTTCTCCAATTTTGTGTTGGTCATCACCTTCTTGATAGTGTTCTTTAATGCATTTAAAAAGTATTTATTTTATGTGAATGAGTGTTTTGCTTGTAGGTATATAAGTATCCCACATGTATGCAATGCCTGAGGAGGCCAGGAGAGGGGATAGGCTCCCCTGGAACTGGAGTTACAGACAGTTGCTAGCTATCATGTGAGTGCTGGGAACTGAACCCTGGGTCCTCTGCCAGAGCAATCAGTGCTCTTAACCTCTGAGCCATCTCTCCAGCCCCTGCATTTTTTAAAATGTGAAATACAAAGAGATTGTGCAATTAGATGTGGCTACAGGTGAAAATACTACTGTTTTGTGGTTAATATTTCATGTTTATTCATGGTAAATGTTTACAATAAACCCCAAGAAGATAGTAAGTGGGGGTAAAGCTGCCCTGGAGTCCATATCACGCCAATTCCCTCTCCATATGATGAATTCTTTGTATCATTTAGAAGGAGGTCTGAACATGAACAGATGCCCCGATCTGGGGACAGGGCAAACCAAAGCCTTTACCCCCAAATGATATTGATATCAGAAGTTCTGGACACAGAATTCCAAAAGGAACTTGACGATTGTGATCCCACTGAAGTTTAGATATCAGTTTCAAGGAGTGAGGAACAGGTATATTGCAGAGTCAATAAGGTTCAGATGGAAGGACATGAGTCCCAAGCCCAGGACTCCAGGGTCAGAAAACAAAGGAATTAAGTTTTTATTTTGGCTTCAAGAAGCCCTTTTTGAGTTGGGTGTGGTGGCCCGTGCTTTTAATCCCAGCACATAGGAGGCAGAGGCAGACAGATCTCTGTGAGATGGAGGTCACAGGCCAGCTGGGTCTATAGGGAGACCCTACCTCAAAAGCCAGAAAAAAAAGCCCTTTTTTACTCCAGCAAGATATGAGACTACTGACAGTAGTGTCCAGGGGCAAACCATATTCTCTGTTGAGCCATATCATTAACCGAGTTCCCCTCTACACCGAGTTTTTAAATTTTTATTTTATTTATTTTTATGTGTACAAGTGTTATGTCTCCATGTATGTAAGTGCACCTGTATCATGCAGTACCCTCGGGGAACAGAAGAGGGCATAGGATCTCCTGGAACTGGAGTTGCAGACCATTGTTAGCTTTCATGTACATGTTGGAAACTGAACCCGGGTCTTCCATAAGAGCAGTCAGTGCTCTTAACCACTGAGCCATCTCTCCAGCCCCCTACACTCAGTTTTATGCAATGGGAAAATGGTTAGTGACTTGATTGGCAGAAATTCTAGATATTGGAATAGGATTAAAAATGAAGAGGCAGAAAGGGGACTAGCAGGTACCTGGGGCCTCCTGCCCTTTACCACCCAAATACTTTGTATTATTCTGTTGAGTCCCAAGCTAGACAAACCTGACAGGTCTTTAGAAAGAAACTTACCATAGGGCAAGGGAATATGGGGTCTGGGTTGGCCTCTAAGTCCAGAAAGAGAAATAACAAAGACCATATATTGAGAAAGAATGGTAGCTGTGGGAACCATATACTACTGTTGAGGAGAAACGTTTCTACATAGCCATCCAAAGTCATGGCTAAGGAAACTGTAGTGAACTAGAGATAGAATGTTTCCTGCTCAGAGAGGTGTGCCAAGAGACACTCTCATCTGAGCATAAATTGGCTGGGGTTGGGGACGTTCTCTGCTCCTGTGACGCCATAAGGGTCTAGAAAGTAGCACTCTAGGTATCCTGTGAGACTGGTGTTGCAATATTGGTGGTGACTATAGATTTGGGGGAAGTTAAGATAGTTAGCAGTTTCAATTTTCCCCTTGAGAGGTATTTGTAAGCTGTTACTTCTGCAAAGAAGGCAGAAATGCTGGGGATTTTCAAAACAATGAAAGACTAGATCCAAGAGAAAAAGAATGAATTGCTTGCCATCCAAATACTGGAGTCTCTGAAATCAACTGTTTGATTTAATCAATTGTTTGAATTAATGGAAATATGACCCCAAGTTATATTCATTGTTTCATGAAACTTGAAGGTCACAACTTAAAAATGGAAGAAAAATCCTATACATTTAGTTTATGAAGTAGGAAAAATACATTTAATTACAATGAAGGAAACATAAATCTATATTTTGAGAATTACTGTTCTAATTATTTGCTTGGCTGAATTTTAGACATTTTTCCCACTACTATTGTTGATGTTGTGAGAAAAAGTTCAGTTTACATCATCGATGTAAATTCAGGGTTTCCTAGTACTCTTTGGCTCTTGGTGACTTGTCATTTTAGTGATGGCTGCCTTGACATCCTTGTTCCTCAGGGTGTAGATGAGTGGATTGAGAACAGGTGTGAGAATAGCATACACCACATTGCCCAAAATGTGGAAGTCAAGGGGAAGGTTAGCCCTGTAGGCCACATAAGATATAGCAATGGATGAGTAGTAGGTGCCCACCACCAACAGGTGGGAGCTGCAGGTGGAGAAGGCTTTGGAACGCCCTTCTCTGGATCTGATGCGAAGCACCGAGGCCAGGATGTGAGCATAGGAGAGAAGCACCAGGAGGAGGGGGAGGAAGGACACCACCATGGCGATGCAGAAGCCCATGAGAGTCTGGGGGCTGGTGTCTGAACAGGAGGCCTGGACCACAGCCAGGTGGTCACAGAAACAGTGGTAGATGTAGGTAATGCTTTCAAATGCCATCTGGGAGGTCTGTACCACTGCTGGGATAGGCAGGATGAGGGCGGTGATCCAGGCACTGGCTGCCAGTGCAGCATTGGTCTGTGGGGTCATGTGGACAGAGCAGTGCAGAGGGCGACAGATAGCCACATAGCGGTCATAGGCCATGACCACCAGGATGAAGGCTTCTGAGCAGGAGAAGCTGTGGAACAGGTACATCTGCAGAAAGCAGGCAGGGAGACTGAGGAAGTGGTCCCCAAGCAGGAGCAAGGACAGCAATTTGGGGACAGTGGTTGTGGTGAAAAGGATATCCAGGGCTGAAAGATTGATGAGGAAGAAGTACATGGGCTTGTGGAGGCTGGGCTCTGCCACCACAGCCACCAGGATCAGGGTGTTACCCACCAGGATGAGCAGGTAGAGGAGGAGGAAGGTGAAGAAGATAGGAAGGAAGAGGGATTGTTGCAGGGAGGGGATGCCCATAAGGTAGAAGATGGTCTGGGAGTCCCCTGATCCATTACAGGCTGCGGCCTCCATGGCAGGTTAAAGTTGGATGCTCAGGAGATAGGTAGGGAGGACATCTGGAATCAAGCCCACCTGTAACAGAACAACCAGAGATTCTAGAGTGAGCATTACATAAGGATCATTATCTAATTATTATAACCAGTTTATCTACCACCAATTCTAGATGAAGCACAATGGGGTC